TTGGAAATTTTAAAACAATTGTGGAATGCATTATCTGTAAATTATACGTACAAAATAAAAATATTTTCTTGCGTCATAATAAGCGTTCAGCACAAAAATTATGCAAATGCTGACGCGATAAATATTGAACATGTAGCATTCGTGCGCGATCCATCAAGCCATCAATATGAATCGCGATTCAAATATCATGATAATTATAGTTATACTGTATATACTGACCGTGTGACAGGGCCCTATCACTTTTGATGAAGACCCCTAATACGTATGTTTCCTCTAACAAAGACTATCGATAGCGGCAACGACCATTCTATAGTGCATAAAAATACAACAATTCGATAGTTTTACAGCTTTAGTTTATTGGGAGTTATCTTTCTTATGGCTTTTCGTACATTCCGTTGATTTGTTTGTTATGCAGGATCCCAGCGCGCAAGTGCCTTCTTCCCTAAACGTTCCCGCCGTTCGGTTTGACGCCAGCAAGGACTTTCAAAAGCGGAGCCTAACCTATGAGCGTGATAGAGCTTTCGCGAGAACTCAACGTAAAACATGGGTTCGCTCCAGTGGTGAAAGGCGATCAAATAGAGAAGCTCTTACTACTTTGTTATCATCGCATGGCGATAATTCTAGCGAATGCATTGAAAAATTACTAGCTGAGGAAATATCATATCGTGACTTGGCTTCACTCTCAAGTGCGGACCTAGAGTTAATGGGATTCAAAAACTCCAAGGAACGTGAAGATTTACTGGCTTTTTTTGCGGAGTTACCAAATCAAGATCCTTCATATAAGAGGTAAGTTTGGGTATATGTAACGCACTAGTTATAATGTATTATATTTCAGCATTTGTGGGTTGGTCGAAGCAGAAACCTATAATGGTGAAATTGTAAGCAATGCAATTGATCATTTAGAAAACATGCGGTCTGCTTTGCGCGCAACAAACTATAAATTAAAGATTATGCCTCCTGATGATATTGTTGTGGGTGAAAAAAGTTTTGCCAGTAGGTTTGTGCTGGAGGCGCTAACGGAGTTACAGACGGTAACCGGAGAAATCGATAAAGAAGTCGCTGATTTGACACAGGTACTAATTAAAATAATTTTAAATTGAACTGCACTTTCACAATAATTTTTGTAATATTTTTATAGCTACTGGTTGAAAAGCAGTCTTCTCAAAAAGTTAACAGAACCGCTAAAAATAGATCATTTGCCTCGGTCGGAGTTTGGGCGCTTTTATGCACAGTAGCAGCAGCCAGTGCTTTAGCTGCAGTTTACCTCACGAAAATGATGAAACACTAGAATTAAGATCCCAGTAGATATGAAGATCTCTTTGTTTTTTGTAAGTGTTGAATAAATTGTCCCATTTAGAAGAAGTTTAAATAGCTAGGATGAAATCCGACATATTATAATTTTGTAAGTAAGTTTAAGAATACGAATACATTTTTGAGACTAAAAGGTTGTGTGCGAGTTCACCTAAATTTTAGTACCTAAACTGTTATTCCACCGGAAATTTCCAGCGCTGCTACAGTTTAGGAAAACAGCTGCTAAACCTGTGCAAGTTCTTTTGACAACCTAAATTTTTCGCCATAGGTAAATAGGACCCGTTAAGCTAGAAAAAAGCAAAAGTGGGCGTGGTCCGTCTTCTACCATTGATTCTAACGGTATACAAAACTTCTGGTGCAAATTAATAGGGGCGGTGCTAGGCGGTAGTAAAAGTGGAACTTTTAATATTCTCAAGTGCTTATATTTCGGAAATTATGGAACCGATTTTCAAATTATTTTTTGGAAACTTATTTGAAATATCTTTCATTTGATGTGTAACCAAAATATACATATTGCGAGAAAAACGAAATTATGGCCTTTTTTTTTAAATAAAAATGTAGCTTTTTTTTAATACGTAGTTAACTATATTAAAAGATAGAATTTTCACTATTTTTTAAATATGGGTTTGTGCTGATAAACATATCTTATAATTGATCACGTATTTAAAAAAAAAATATAAATTTTTATTTACAAAAGGCCATTAATTTCGTGTTTTTTTTTAGTTTCTCTTGAAGTATGTATATATGTATATGCATTTTAAATGAAAGTATTTCAATCACCTTTCCAACCATGTCAACAGAAAATCGGTTCTACAATTTTCGAAAATAAGCTTTTTAAAATATTGAAAATTCCACTTTTACTATCCCCTAGCACTGCCCCTTCTAATTTAAGGGGCAGGCCGCGCCCACTTTTTCTTTTTTTTCTCGCTCAACGGGCCCTATTATTCAGCCAAATTCGAATCGAAATTTTCTACGTTTGGCAACATTGGTATTCTGCGTTCCGTTTCGATAAGGAATATTGCCAGGGGCGGACCCAGCAGCAATTCTTGGGGGGAAAATTTTCCAACATATCGTGTATATAAATTTAAAAATCACCGCAATTTAAAATTTTTAGGGTTTTGATAGTTTTAAATTTGTTGAAGTTTCCCATTTTAAATAACTTGAGTGGAATTCCAAAATTTTCTAAACTTTCAAAGCTTTGTGAATTTGAGAAATTTTAGTAAATCGCAATAATTCAATATAATGATGAATACTAGATTTCTAGAATTTTTTTTGGGGGGTGGGGGAATTTCCCCAATTGCCCCTACCTGGGTCCACCACGATATTGCGCGGTGTTTTCAAAGAAGTCCAGGCGTTTTTGTTTTCATTATCTATAAATAAGACTTCGAAATGTACTGAATATAATCGGTTTGGTATGGAAGGTTAAGCTTTGTTCTTCCCCTCCTGACAGCTTGCAAAATCGAATTCATTCGCGTTCAAATATTCCACTCTGTAGTAATGCAAATGCTATGGAGTGCTCAAACAACGTTTATAATTTCTCTAGCTTTGAGCGGTGAGTAATGCAGTTCAAGATGAATTCTTATCTGAAAAAGGATTAAACATGTCCCTAAATATCCGCCTTTCATGGATTTCATTCTTATAATTATGTTTCCACTTAAATTAAGCACAAACGAAATTTTATTTTACAATTACAATGATGTTAGATATATTTAGTTATTTTAAAATATTTACAAATTTTAACTTCATAAGCTGCTATATTTTGGTGGCAAATATTTTTATTTTGTTTCGATTTCACACATTCCTAGGCAACCAGCTGATTTCGAAGATGTTTTCGCTCTTCCTCTTCTTTCGATTCGATCGTAAGTCAGAATAACAAGAGCTAGTACCGTCCGAAAACACTACAGTACAGATATATCAATAAACACGTACGAAGGAAAAGGAACCGATACCTTTATAAATAAACATGTACACAACACATATACAGAAACGGCACTCAAGTACACAATACATTGACAAACACGGTACTAGACTGTCTCGCTTTGATTACACATTTAGAAGTTAACTTACTGCCAATATAGAAGTATTACATATATGAGATAAATGCATGGCTGTAATTTGGACTACGTTTTCCTTTAAAAAAAAATTTACATACATATGCAATTAGGTTGAAAAACTAAAAAAAAAAACGTCATTACGGGGGGAAATCGTCAAAACGTCATTAGGCTAAAAAAACGACAAAATCTTCAATTCGGCAGCGCTGGTTTCGATTAATTTAAATAGAAATATTCAGTCGTAAATAACTTTTTCGTTTATTTACTTTCCTCCCTTAGAAATGCGAGCGTTAGCGACGTCCATACATCAACGTATTGTGGATATTCCCAAGCGGTTGTGCAACATATCAAATCTGCTCTGCTCATGCAATGTGGCAACTCTCCTGCAAGTAAAAAAATATATATACATAGGGCACTGTCACACGGTCAGTATTTATTGGCGTGATCCAAGTATATTTTATTATGTATATTTTTATTTAAGCTGATGCCACATAAAACTTTTGCTTCGCTTTAAGCGACAGATTCGCTTTGACAGATAAGATGAATTGTATGAAAATACCCAAAGCATGCCACATAAATCGTTGAAGTTGCAGCGCGAAGCGAAAAGATGGCCAACTCCCATCTTTTTGCGCGCTTTGACAATCAGCCGGTTTAATATTTATTTTGTTTCGTCCAAATTCGGGTTCACATGCAGAAACATAAAACTTAATTGCATTGCTGATAATTTTAAAGCAAAATAATTAAAATCCACAGCAACTGACGAGTAAAAAAGCGGTACAAAATTGTTTTCTTGGCGTTCATTGTGGCATACCTTTTGCGTCTGGCGCTTTGCTGGCAAAGTTATAAATGTCACGCAAAGCTACAAAGTTTTATCTGGCATCAGCTTTATTGACGGTGTAGCATGCAGTATTGATGGATCGTGATACATATCGCAAAATTTCTAAAAAAATTTGAAATCTGGATCGCGGATCGCAATACCGTCAATAAATATTGAACGTTTAGCACTTTCAAAACGCGATCCATACATTTCGTCAGTACATCTTTTACTCTCATAATGCGAACATCGAAAACGTATTCGCTCTGCCTTCGCTCTCGGTGTTTAAAACCTTTCAAAAGAAATTGAAAAAATTTTAATTAACATTGGAAATTTTAAAATAATTGTGGAATGCACTATCTGTAATCTATACGCACAAAATAAAAATATTTTCTTGCTTTATAATAAGCGTTCAGCACAAAAATTATACAAATACTGACGCGATAATTATTGATCATGTAGCATTCGGGCGCGATCCATCAATCCATCAATATGGATCGCGATCCAAATATCGTGATAATTACTGACCGTGTGACAGGGCCCATAGAAAGTCTATTTCTAGTTTTATAAGTTTGTCAGCAAACCTGTCCACTTACGGGCAACGTATTGCTTCACTTCGGTTTCTTTTCTATAACGACCATGAAGTTGTTCCACAAAGTTGATATATTGAGACAAATGCCAAGAACGATAGAAAACTTTGTCTTTACTACCCGGAAACCTACTTAGGGAAATTAACTGCCGCAGTGAATCTTCTGTGCTTTTTGTGATGTCTTCGAATATAGACGCAATCAATCTTAACTTCTTCGCGTATGGTTTTAACCCGTTTGGATAAATTGTATCTCGATGCTCCCCAATGATTTGATTACAAGATTCCTTCGTCTCTAAAGCGCGTGTCTTAATTGCCTCAATCGATGTACAAATCGTTGTACCCCTCTTTTGCGCTAATTGCCATTTGGAATAATTGTCCTGTAGAAGAGAAACAATCGCTTTTAAGCGAGCTTTACATGCTGTAAAATTTGCATCCTCCGAAGCTGATTTTAACCGTGGGCTATCCAGAACTACTTAATATAAAGAGTAATAATAGTTAAAATAATTTTAATAATAAATTCACACTTACATCGAACAGGAGTCAACTTTTCGGTAAAATTAGTGCCTTTCTTCTCTGGTGTTGACATTTTAGTTTTGTTTTGGGTTCCACCAAGTAGTGATGAGCGATATTTCACTACCGGTGATTTTATCACTGTGATTTAAGAATCGCTTATAGGGCTATAGAATCGCTGATTTAAGAATCGCAAGGGCGATTTTGCAGGCAACTTTTGAGTTCAACTCACGCAGGGTTGCACGAAAAAAAATTGAATGGCTAAATATATCAAAATATAAAAATAAGATCAGGCATACATCAAGATAACCAACCGTTCAGCTATAGAAAAACTAGTACTTTTTACGCTGATTTTAGCTACATAAATATTATTTGCCGCAATTAAAAAGTAAAGTAGATATAAAAGGTAAAACAAAAAAAATTGGGTAATTCTCTAGTATAGGGTAACAACTGCTAAAAAAGGTCCGGAAATGTCGGGAGAGGTACCAAACGACGCGTTTCGGTCCCCGTATTAACAATCCGGGGGCGGAAGGGTAATATTAGCCATTTAAAAGTTATAAAGAACAACTTTTGTTAAATTTCGTTGTTTTGTATGGTCAATTACCCCGACAAAAATTCACTAAATCACCTGTTCTATTAAAATATATAATTTAATTTAATTACTAAACAAACGGTAATTCTCTAGTTTAGCGTAACGACTACTAAAAAAAGGTTCGGAAGGTTAATATTATTAACCATTTAAGAGTTATTAACAAAAAACTTTTGTTAAATTTCGTTGTTTTGTATGGGCAATCACCCCGAAAAAAATACTGTTAAATAGCACATAAATTACGTAATTCACGTAGATACTGTAATATTACGTTTAATATTTCCTTTAAAATTCCAGATTTCCTGCCAATACATTGAAATTTACAAAAGGAATTTCACTACTAATTGCCTGCTTTGCGTACTTTTCTACTACCATTTACGCACCGAGGGATTTCATTCTTCGTCTTTCTCGTCCTTCGTAAATGCAACCTTTTGTAAGGGAGTGTCAAACCACGGCTGTCAGTAATTATCTAACCTTGTTATAGGTGCGTTCGTTTAAAATCTCCAGTAAAAACCAACCAACAGCAAAATTCCGGCGAAATGTCACCAGTTCTCTCACAAGAGAAAAATATCCAAAAAAGTACGCGAACAGAAAATTTGCAGAAACTTGCAAGTTAGACGAAGAGCTGATATAATTTTTGTTTACTTTCAAAAGTGTAAGATTTAAAACGTACGAAAACTCATCACAAAGTGGTATCCTGACACAGTTTATTGAGTAAACAAATAACTACTTTCTTCTTACAAGTTTAATTAGTCGCATTTTGTAATTTTTAACTTCCAAACTATCAAATTCAATTTTGTGATTCGCGTAAATTGAAACCAGCTGTTTTTGATCAGCTGTTTTCCTGTTGGCAAATTGCTGTTGGCAAAAATTTTTCCAGCAGAAACCAGCAGCTTCCCTCAAAATGAAATGTCACTTTGCCCTCTCAATTTCCCCTCCTTTGCGTACGCGAACGCAAAAACCTGAAAGTTTTGGTTAAAGCTTAGTATCCAGCTCTTAAGAAAAGCAAAAACTCCATATAAAATGACGTACAAGAAATGGCTAAGAAATTTTCTTGAGTCAAAGTTCCTTAAGGCAGTACGCAGTTCTTAAGAAATTTACTACGCTTTCTACTACGGTTTTCTAAAGTTTTTGTGAAAAAAGAGCACAAGGCAACCCAGGTTTGCAACAGAAATATATGCCCGTTCCATTATTTCTTGAGGAAAGAGTGAGGCAACAGGCTGTGAGGTATCAAAAATGTCAAAATTTCAGGGACACACACGCGAAATAATGGCAATTTTTTCTTGACCGTTTTCTTGAGAGCTGCATACAGGGCTTTAAGGAAATTTGACTCAAGAAAATTTCTTAGCCATTCCTTGTACGTCATTTTATATGGAGTTTTTGCTTTTCTTGAGAGCTGTATACAGGCCTTTTGCCATTTCTTGAGTAGTTACGCTCAGCCCAAGAGTTGGCAACTTTACGCCATTTTTTCCAGCGCGAAATTTTTACGCTCAACGTGTTGGGCTTAGCCTAAACAGCTGATCGAAAAGTCTTACGCCGCTTATATTAAATTTAACGCCGCTTTGTTAGGTGGCAGTTGCAAACAAATTTATTATATTTTATATTATTAATATATATTATTATTTATTAATAATACTACCTTTCCTAAATATATGTTTTTAAGATGTTTGCTATATAATTTTACACTGTTTAATTCATTGTAACATTGAACGCTTTTTCAACACGGCGGCCGCTCAGCGTTGAATTCTAAATAGCATCGGCACAACTATCTCTATTTGTTGCAATTTCATTTGTTTACATTTATCAGCTGTTCATTTGGCAGCATATTCATCAAGCCGTTTCTAAGACGTAATTGTTGGGTTCAACAGTTGCCAGCAGTTTCGTAGCAGATGAGCTAAACAGCTACGTCTTATGAACGCAATCATTTTGTATGGAACTTCAGCTTTTCTTGCGAACTGCATACAGGCCTTAAACACTATGGCACATATTCATAGTCATATTTAGTACTCAACTAAGTCGAAACTATACTAAGGGCCGGTTACTCAAAGTCTGGCAAACACTAATCTCTGGTTAAACATCGTTATCGACGTTACCGACTCCCTGTTATATGAATTTAGTCGAATACGTCGATAACAATGTTTAACCGGAGATTTGTGTTAACCAGACATTGAGTAACCGGCCCTAAGTCGCAACTAAAGCTATTCATAGTCGCCTTAGTTTTGACTTTTCTGGCTAAGTACCAACTTAAAATTTAGTTTCGGCTGCAGCTGCAGCTAAGTCGTAACTAGGAAGAAGTATTTTATCAAATTAAGGGAAAACAGACGAAATATGTAAAAATTAAGTTGGTAGAGAGTGATTTTGATAATATTGCGTAATCTCCAATTCAAATTAACAAAGATCGATCCATTTTAATCGGAAGATGAAATTAAATGCGTATTACAATTCGAATAAAGCTACATCACAATTTTATAATTGGAATAATTTAGATAAATTCTCAAATAATAAGTCAGTTTCACGCTAGTTCTTTTAAAGTAAATTTGTGCATAACATTGGGAATCGCACCCTAGCCTGTTCAGTCGGACTGAGCAGTCCACCACTCGAACGCACACTGGACTGGGCAGTCGGCCGAAAACAGGTTTGAGTTTTGTATACATGAACTACGCTTCATTGTGTTAGTGCATGTGGCACATGCAAACAAAACGAAATACAAAACGTGTTGTCTATGTGTGTGTGTCAGTCCACCGTTAATCCGCGATTTTCACGGACTGAAATAAACGAGGTAAACTCGAACTCTCTTCCCCCTCTTATTAACACAAAACCGGTTTTATGCGGACTGAGCAGTCCAGTGTGCGGAGGCTCATTTAGATATCTACTATTTGTATTGTGACGAATACTGCGGCAACGCGAAGCGAATAACGAGAAATAGGCAGAATGTTCGAGGAATGACGTAGAATGTTCCACAAAGAGAAACGCCAAGTTGAATGAACACTGCGAACAGCGAGAGGAAGAGAATGAGCGATAAACTTCAGAACGTTCTAGAGTTGCCATAAGTACGAACGCAGGTATATAAGGGCGAAGCCACAGCGAAGTGAGTTAGATACAAGTCAGCAAGCTACAAGTAAAGTGAGCAGAGAAGTGAGTTGCGAATAAGCAAGCTATAAGTTTAATTGTGCTAACAAGTTTAGTAAAGCGTTGTTATTGCTTTAACAAGTATTGTAAAGTTTTTTTTACTGTATTAGCAAGTATTGTAAATTGTTTGTTGTACGATACAATTTGGTCATCGTTAGCATTTATTTAACAATCCAGCGATACGAGCGGGAGATTATTTGGGAAATCCCTCAAGGTTTCGAGGCAAGAACGATAGAATACAAGATTGCGCATTCCCGCAGAATGACATTTGTGGCAACGGGTAAGCAAAGAATATGGCGAAGAACAATGAGTTGACAGTTGTGCATTCGCAGTCAGAAAACTTGTTTTCTTCTCGATTCACCAATTTCTCAAGCCATCTTTGAATATAGCAAGTTAAGCACAACGTTAACAAAAAATATACAACCACTCTTGAAATATGATCAAAAGAATAGGTCTTATTAATTAACTATTTAGAATTTTCGTGTTTGTATTGCACGTGCCGAAAAAGTGATAATATCTTGTCGCAGCGCATGTTTTCCTGCAGAAAGAGGTCGATGCGTGCTTACCTCCGATTTTAATTTGTAATTTGTGGTATTTCAACGTTTTCAACTTAACATGTCGTGTTTAAAAGTGGTCCGTAAAGTGCTTCATGCATATTACGCTGGTGTCTAAATTGTATGGCTTCTCCTGCCGGCAGAACTCTACCCACTTTCCGGCCAAGGCGTCGTCGCGGGGAAACAAAAAAAAAAAATGCATTTGGGGGCTTTACCCCTACGGCTGCTGCAATTCAACACACGACACGACATTTTTATAAAGTTTTTATTACAAATGAAACGTTTTTTACTTCAGAACGCACGAATTACTTCGATTTTTCACTTGAAAGTACACAATACGTTTGCAATACGTTTGCACTTGTTTCTAAACAAAAAGCTTGTTTACGTATTGCCATAAATGTCAAAGTCGGCAAAACCAAAGTAGCGGTTTCGGGAATGCGCCACCTTCAGTTCATTTCACCATGGTTTCGAGGATAATCGTTACAGTATGTTTCGCAGCACGGTGCAGCGAACAAAGGTGGCGCCGTCAGTGGTACCGCTACTTTGGTTTTGCCGATTTTGACAGTTGTGGTTACTTGTAAATAAACCTTTGTTTACAAATCACCGAAAGAGAAATTTGAATTATAAGTGAAAAATCAGTTTAAATCGTGTTAATTGACTTGTGACTGATTTTTGAGTTGAAGACTGCGTAAAAACTAATACAATGAAGTGCTGTGTGTTAAATTGCGACAACCGTCAAGATGCAAGAAGCGTAGATGCAAGTGTAGCGCTGGGACGAATCGCTGCATTTTGTGTACATAGGGCACGGCAAAGCCGTTCCCGAAATGTTTCTCTATTATTATATTAACAGCATTTCCTCACAATGATTTTGTTTCTGCTCCACGCAACCTCCATTAGCAAG